AAACTGATGATACCAAATGCTGGTGAGATTGTCAGGCAATAAGAATACTTTTCTACAAGTTGATAGGGGTATAAATTGGCAAAACCATGTTGGATGACTGGCATTATCCACTAAAGTGGAACATAAGAATACCCTATTACCTGATAATTCTACTAATAGGTTCTACCCAACAAAAATGAGTACATGTGTGTACCAAAAGACATGTACAAAAAGTGTTCAGAGTTATTTATAAGAACTCTAAAGTAGAAATAATCCATATGTTTATTAACAGTAGAACAGATAAATTGCAGTATATTCATTTTTTTTGAAGTATACAACAATGGTAATGAATAAGTTATGGTTACTTATAGTAGCTAGAACAAATCTTACAAATATAATGTTGATTTTTTTAAAAAAACAGACACAATTTGTGCTGTGAATTCCATTTAATTAAACTCCAAAAACTAAATTCCTAGTGTTTGAAGTGGGAGCATGGTTCTCTCTGGGGAGGAGGAAGAGGTAGTGATTAGAAGGGCCACAGGGGACCTCTAAGAGGCTGGAATGTTGATTCTTGACCTACATGATGATATCTTCAGGGGTGTGTAAACTTAGTGTACTTCTCTGCATATTATTTAATAAATATTTGTTTTTTAATTGATACCTGGATCCTGCCCCCAGGGATTCTAATTTAACTAGTCTGGAGAGAGTTCCAGGCAGCAGTATGTATTTTTTTTAAATCACCTCCAGATTTATAACATGTAACCAGAGTGTATAACTACTGCATTACAATTTCTTTATTATAAGGATACTTTATGATCACTGTGGAAAATTTGACAAGTAAGATGTGTAAACAAAACAAAACAAAACAAAACAAAAATCATTTAAAATATACCCCCAAGGCCAGATGCAGTGACTCATGCCTGGAAACACTTTGGGAGTCCAAGGCAGGAAGATCTCTTGGGGCCAAGAGTTCAAGACCAGCCTGGGTAACATACTGAGACCCTATCTCTTCCAAAAATAAAGATAAAATAAATTCCCCAGAGATTCCTCTTCTTAATACCCCTACTTATTTTTAAAGTGACCAGGTTTTAAATAATATTAAATATATACAGTATTCCTCCTGGTTCTTGCTACAGGCATTTAGGGAAAAGGGCATCATCTTTTTGTAGCTTTTGGTAAATCTAGGAAGTAATATATAAATGCTGTTAACTATTCCTGAAGCGTCGGCTATACTTCTTGAGGAGAAAGTCAGAAACGGAGACTGCAGCTTCGTTTTGTCCTGATTATCTATTCTCATGGGATGTTTGTTTTTCACTTCTGAATTTCTTAGACTAGAACAAGACTTCTTAGGTACAGTTTAACCATTTAAGATCAAAGGTCATCTGTTACACTGTCTCAGCAAAACTTCAAATGAGTTTATTGCCTGTCAAATGCTTTCTAGAATACTCTTCCACAAAACCAGAACTGTTTCTGAGTTCTTATTCATACTAGAATGGTAATAGCCTGTATGTTTATCAGTAAGAGATAGGTTGAATAATTGTGGTACATACACAGAGTAGAATACTGTATAGCTTTTTAAAATGGTAAAGCCATATGTTGATATAGAAAGATATCCAAGACCTATTAAATAGACTATATCAAACATTTATATCTCTTAATGTCTGTGTAGAAATATGCAAGTTGATTTCTGCCTAAGTCCCAAAAGATATATACCAAACTGTTAAGAGAGATGATTTCTGTGCAGTGTACTTGCTAGGTGAATTAACTTTCTCTACATTTTATACATTTTTAATAAAGATTATATTATCTAGAAAAACATTACTGTTTTAAGGGAAAACAAAACAAGTGACAGAAGTGTTGAGAGAGTGTGCCCATTTTGTCTAGGCCCTAGTGTGTGTCCTTATTTTATAAAAATTTAAAACGTAGAGTTGAAGTAGAACTTGTGCTTAGAGTGCCATCAAGGATGGAGGCTTTTTTCATATTTTGCAATTTCTTTCTGATAAGAACACCTCACAATTACTGTAGAAATGGGAAAAACAAGAAAATGCATAAAGAAAAGAAAAATCACTTAAAATATACTCCCAGGGATATCTGCTTTTAATACCCTACTTATTTTGTCACGTCATCAGTTGTTAAATAATGTATTTTAATTTCCATGGTTCTGTGTTTCCTTATAGCATAGAATTTCTAAAGCTTGGGTTCTGCAAGTATTTCTGGGTCATGATTCATCCTCACCCTGAGTGATAGGTTAAGGGAAAGTTAAGAAAAGTTTACCACCAAGACTTCCCTAGTTGACAACTTCAGTCTCTTCCAGGGCTTTTAAAGGTTCTTTGTACTATTTTGATTCAGGGCCATGTCGTGGGAGATAGACATAGGATTATCAAAACGTTTTCTGAAATATACCAAAAAGCAAACCTAAATGATAATTATAAAAGTCTTGAATAACCTTTATGAATTTGCTTGTACCGGTTTTGGTCACAGTGCCTAACAGCCATAGTGCCTATTTCATAAGTACTTCATAAATATTGGCCAAATAGGGAAAATGAGAAATGAAGGGAAAAACTACAAATGTAAACTAGAAAAGGCAGGATGGTAAATGAGCTGAGTGTTTTGGGGAGTTAAAGAATGGAAATCTGATTGTTTCCTAGGAAAACAGACGGATACTGCTTACTTTGACAGACCAGAATGGGTGGGTATTTTTAAGAGTTGGGAGATGGGGGATAGATCAGACCAAAATTAAAGTGTAATATGTAAAACATTTTTAGTGTCGTCTACTGAGATCCTTATAGTTTTATGTATAATTAGGTTTCCTAATAAAATAATCATGATAATGAGAAGGCCTGGAAAACCTAAAAAATGCTTTTCTTGTTTCCCTTTAAAAAAAAAAGCAACACAAACTCCCCACATTTTCCAAACTTCTCTGCCTAGATTCTATTAGCCACTCACTAATATTTATATTAATATCTCTGTTATGGCTGTTATCTCTGTTATGGTCCATATAAAATGTAAAATGTCTTTCTTATTACATAAATAGGAGGAAATATACCATCTTCGTTTGTCATTGTTATTATACAACTGTTAAAATTTTTCTCTGGAGTTTTAGAAATTAAATTGTAACCATAGATAACCTTTTGTTCTGTCATCAGTTGTTTCTTTTTTAAAAAAGAAACCATTAAGTGATGCAGGTTCTACAGCATTGAAGAGTTTGGGAAACATTTATAGAGATTAAGCATTATTCAGGTCTTAGCACTATTTGTGTGTTCTTGTGGCTTTCCTTCCACAAGTTAATTATTCTTGATATTTTTTTGTTCTGCTTGTTTTTATTTTTATTTATTTTTATTTTTTTTTATTTTTTATTTTTTTACAGCAGATTCTACAGGTAGATTGCTTGTTTTTAAATAGTCCAAATAGTGTATTTGTATTAAAAAAAAAGTGTTGAAAATTGACCTTCTTGGGAAATGGTACTTAAGAATGTGTTATTAGGGCCAGGCGTGGTGGCTCACACCTGTAATCCTAGCTCTCTGGGAGGCCGAGGCGGGCGGATTGCTCGAGGTCAGGAGTTCTAAACCAGCCTGAGCAAGAGCGAGACCCCGTCTCTACTATAAATAGAAAGAAATTAATTGGCCAACTAATATATATATACAAAAAATTAGCCGGGCTTGGTGGCGAATGCCTGTAGTCCCAGCTACTTGGGAGGCTGAGGCAGGAGGATTGCTTAAGCCAGGAGTTTGAGGTTGCTGTGAGCTAGACTGACGCCACGGCACTCACTCTAGCCTGGGCAATAAAGTGAGACTCTGTCTCAAAAAAAAAGAATGTGTTATTAAGTTCTTTAGTGTCTAGTAAGTGTTTTTCTTTTACCACCCACTGACTCTAATTTCCTTCTGAAATAAAACATGATAGTTCCACAATGGGACTCAGGTGAATTATAATCTTTTCCTCATCAAATCCTTTTCATCTATATTAAATTTAAATCTTTTTTTTTCTGTTTTTAGAATTGGACCCCTATGACTCCTTATGTGACACTTGGGAGCTCTTCTGTTTATGCAGAGATGTGCCGACTGTAGGGTGGGGGATGAGGGGAGGATGCAGGACCACACAGAAATAAGGACAACCTAATTTAATGGGTTATTGGATAATTAGATTGGCAAAAGAAAGAGCTGGTGTGCAGCTGGGAGAAAGACACATCACAGAGAACTGTGGACAGAGTGGGCGAGACATAGACGATGGAGGCAGGGAGACAGATGGGAAAGACTTGGATGAGGCATTGGAAACTACCCTTGTTATAACTGATCTTTTATCTGAACTGTGTTCTTGATCCTTAAACAAACAAAAAGTTCCCTTTGCAGGAATGCTTGTGGTTAACGATTATACATATAATGCCTGGTGTGGGCATTCAACAGACATATTTGCCAGTGGTGATGGCATCTCCCTCTGCAGGTTAGGAAATACTATTCCCATTTGACAGCTGAGGAAATTGAGGCTTAAGGGAATTAAGTAAGTTGGCAAAATCACACAGTTAGTACGCTCCGGGTTTAAATTGAGCCACCTGTGTCTCTACAGGCCGTGCTGACTTCAGAATTCACTAGATGGTACTATTCTTTAATGCTTAAAGGTCTCTAATAGCATATTCATGATTGTTTGTAGCCCCATAGGGTTGTTTATCTTTAAATTCAGATACTGTTCCAAAGAGAATTGTTATTGCTGCTACCAGATGGGAAATTTTTCTAGGCTCAGGGAGCCCATCTTTAAATCAACACTTTAAGAATTGTTCACATCTTTTGAAATGGCTCTGTTCCATTTTAGTTCAAAGCTCCACCACTTACTAGCTTCATGACCCTGTGTGGGCCACTTCACCTTTTAAGCTTCATTGTCCTCAACAGGCAATATTGGCAATAATAATATTTACCTCAAGGAGTTTTTTTGAGGATTAAATTAGCATTCCATGTTTGTTTATGAATGTGATTTCTTCAAATTGATATTACAGGTATAAATGTTATAACCAAAATTTTCTCCCACTGCAGGTCTTCTTGAATTTTCTCTGGGGAAATTTAGATACTTGGAGCTCATCAAGTCCTTTCCAGAGGAAGCTATTTTGCATCATATTTCAAGTAATGTGACTTTTCTTATTTTTCAAATACACTCACAGTATCAGAACACAACAATTTCTTTTTATAAGGTAAGTACAAAGAATTATTCCAGTAAAAACCATTTCCATATTTTGGGGGTTTGTATTTGGAATAACCATTAGAATTTGATGTCTCTCAATGTTTACGATTTTATGTGTAAAAAATTTTAAAAAATCAAGATTGGGTCTTATCAAATTAGTGATTGAGACTGGCCAAGAAGTAAATTTCTCAGGCCTTTCTTGAGTGTGGCAGCCTCTTATTTAAAAAGGGAGTATCCCTGTTGGATTTTGTTCTTAAAAAGAGAAAAAAATAAAAAAATAAAAATAAAATAAAAAGGGAGTAATACAATGGAATACTATTCAGCTATAAAAAAGAATAAAATCCTGTCATTTGCAGCAACATGGATGGACCTGGAGGCTATTATGTTAAATGAAATAAGCCAAGCACAGAAAGATAAACATTGCATGTTCTTACTCATATGCAGGACCTAAAAAAAAGTAGATCTCATGAGAAGAGAGCGTAGACTGGTAGTTACCAGAGTCCAGGAAGGGGAGGGAAGGGAGGGAGGAAGGAAGAGGAAAAAAAAACATAAATGTGTTTACTACTACTGATGTGTACACTTACAGCAGGTAAAGATGGCAAACTATGTATATTTTAACTTAATACAAATTTCTTTTAAAAAGGGGGTGCTAGGCTTGATGGCTGACACCTGTAATCCCAGCACTTTGGGAGGTTGAGATGAGAGGGTCACTTGAGCCCAGACATTTGAGACCAGCTTTAGCAACATAGCAAGACTTTATCTCTACAAAGAAATTAAAAAAAGAAAATTAGCCAGGTGCACTCTCCTGTAGTCCCCACTACTCGGGAGGCTGAGGCAGGAGGACTGCTTGAGCCTTGGACTTTAAGGTTGCAGTGAACTATGATGACACCACTGCACTCCAGTCTGGGCGACAGAGCAAAACCCTGTCTCAAAAAAAAAAAAAAAAAGGCAGGGGAGGTGAAGTCACCCTGTACCCGAATGTCCTCTCTGCATTTGTTTTCCACATAGATTTCCTGCCTTTTCTTTTTCTTATCTAGTGGGCTTCTTAATGATTTACCTGAGAATATGTTTTAATGGTTTATTGTTGGTTTAGCTATTATATTGAAGATTTCTACAGAACCTTATAGAATCAACTTTATTCTTAGAGTCCTATCATGCAAACAATAAAATTGATAGCATCATCATCCAGCCTGCACCAATGCTTTCCTAGAATCTTTCTGGGCTATTTTTCAGAAGATACCATAGGACTTATTATAGATGTCCATCACTAACCCCTTTAACGCAAACCTCAACATTTGAGACATTTTTTGAAATGCCCTGATTAGCTTAGCTATTAAAGGATTACCATTTTTTATGTAAACACTTTTATATGTCTATTTATATTTAGCCTATATAACCCTTAGGGTAATAATGAATTTCACCCCTGTGTGAAGTTTACTTTATTTTTTATTTGTCTTAAAGCCTATCTTCGGTAATATTCTGAATTTGTAAACAAAGCTGTCCTTTGATTTTTTTATTCCTGCCTTTCTTGCTTCTACATGAGGTTTTAAATTGTGTGTGTGGGTGAGTAGGGGAGGTAGTTAATAGAATAGAAATGGAAGAGTTCAGCTAGAGGAAACGAAAAAAGAATAATTTGTTAATTGTAAGAGACACCATACATTGATTTTGCTGGAGTTTTTGCAGCCAGAGCAAGAAAGTAAAGCATGTTTATATTTATAACTTCCTTAGAAGGAAGAAGCATGCCAGTTCCTCAGGGTAGGTCAAATTTTTCTAGAACCTCAGTTCAGAGAAAACTTCCTATCAAGGCTCTTAACATAGGAGACACAGTATAAAGGCACATAGATGATTTCTCCTTTTTTTAAAAAAAAAAATTAATTGACAAATAAGATCATTTCTTTCTTAATGACATTATAACAAAGACAACATTTGAAGGAAAGAGAGATGATGGGGAACGGATTATTGAATGCCTACTATGTGCTAGCACGTTTCTTTCTTCGCTCCCGTCCCTCCCTCCCTCCTTTCTCTGTTGCCCAGGCTAGAGTGCAGTGGTATCATTATAGCTCACAGCAACCTCAAACTCCTGGGCTTAGGAGATCCTCCTGCCCCAGCATCGCAAGTAGCTGGGACTATAGGTATGCACCACCATGCCCAGCTAATTTTTTCTATTTTTTTGTAGAGATGAGGTCTTGCTCTTGCTTATGCTGGTCTAGAACTCCTGAGCTCAAGTGATCCTCCTACTTCAGCCTCCCAGTGCTAGGATTACGGCGTGAGCCACCGCGCCCGACCTTTACATAATAAATCTTAATGCAGGTGAATTGAAATGCTTGGGAATTTCATTGTACATCTGCTATTCTTGATCAAAGATCATTTTTATAGACCAAATGTTTGTGTCCCCCATGCCCCCAAATTCATACATTGAAATCCCAACCCACAGTATAATGGTATTAGAAAGTGAAGCCTTTGGGAGGTGATTAGGTCATGAGGGCAGAGCCCTCATGTATGGGACTACTTCCTTTATGAAAGAGGCATCTCACCAGAACTTGACCATGCTGGGTCTCTGATCTCAGACTTCCAGCCTCCAGGACTGTAAGAAATGAATTTCTACTGTTTATAAACCACCTAACCTGCAGTACTTTGTTATAGCAGCCCAAACTGAGACAATCCTATGGTACTTTTTCCATGTGTACGTATGGCTATGTGAACATAGAGATGAAAGGAATTCTTTAATTATTTAAAGAAGTTATTTTTTTTTCAGTTTTGCTGTGAGATTTGGACTAGGACATGCATATAGATCAGCTCTATAATTTGTTTATTTTGCCCAACTTCTTATCCATGATGACTTTTCTTCCTAATTACAGACTCTTCTTCCCAATGCCTCGGAAACAGGCACTAACAGAGGGCTGGTTTCCATTCTTAGACCAGAGCAGAGTATGTGCACTTGGTACTTGGAGACTCTAGATGCAGAGCCTGTTCAAAATGTGGCCATTCCACTCTCCTACTCAGAAAGAGGTAACCTTTCTGTCTTCCACTCCCTATTGCTCTCTGGAATATGGTATGTGTTTGTGAAAACTTAAGGAAAGTTATCTTATTTAGATCATTTGTTACAAGTTCAATTTATTTAATCAGAGATGTTTTTATAGCAAGGGAGCCAGAGAATTATAATGATGATTGAAAACTCAGATAGTGACTAGAAGAATAATTAATTCAAAAAACATCTAAGGAGCCCTTGGAGAAGCAGTAACAGTAAGACAAGACACGGTCCTTAACAGTTTAGTTAGTTATTCTAGGGAGAGGAAGCAGTATGTATCATGTCAGGAAGAAGAATGGAGTATTTGGAGAATGGCGCGTAGTGGGTTTGGGTGGAGCCAGAGTGTGTAGGGTGTTGCCTACAATTTGAGGCTTGTACTCTATTTTGAGGTGGGTTTTAAGGAGGCATAGAATTGAGTTTTGTTTGTTTGTTTTGGGACAGAGTCTCACTCTGTCACCCAGGCTAGAATGCGGTGGCATCATCATAGCTCACTATAACCTCAAACTCCTGGGCTCAAACGATCTTCCTGCTTCCACCTCCCATGTAGCTGGGACTACAGGCTTGTGCCAGCTCACCCTACTAATTTTTTCTATATACATTTTTTTAGTACAGGTGGGGTCTCGATCTTGTTCAGGCTGGTCTTAAATTCCTGAGCTCAAGCAATCCTCCCACCTCATCCTCCCAGAATGAGTGAGTGCTAGGGTTACAGATGTGAGCCACTGCACCCAGCAGTATAGAGTTTTTATGCAGGAATGATGTGGTCCATTTTATCTCTTGGAAAGGTAACTTTGGAAGTACTGGGGGGACTGGATTGGAGAGGGCACAGCAGAGTCAGGACTTAGCACACCTTTGAGGGCTCAAAGTGAGAAATGGGGATTTGATTAGAAGCCATGAGAGTGGGGCTGGAGAAGGAGGGACTGGGTGGAAGACAGAATTGATAAGACACAATGACCGTGAATTGTAAGGGGAAGCATAGGCTTCCTGTTTGGGCAGCTGGGAGACAGTGATACAGAATAGGAGTGGTGGGAACAGGGTTGTCGTAGTGCTGGGTGTTTTGGGGGGTGGGTTGGAATAGAAAGGGACTTCAGCTTGGGGCACAATGGATCTGAGATGCTTGTAGGAGGCAGTTTAAATAAGGCCCTGGAATGGAGGGGTGAGCTTATGTACTCAGCTAAACAGCTGTTAATAAAAACTGAGGCAGTGAGTGAGTTTACCCAGGCATATGCTTAGAGATTTAGGAGAAAAAATAATAGCAAATACTTTCATAGTGCCTACCATGTGTCAGGCACGGTTTCCGGGGATACTAACTGGTAAGGAGCACGTGCAAGACTAAGGAGTAGACAGGTAGGAAGAGAGCCTGGAGGTTCTGCTATAAGGCGCGGAAATACTACACTGCAGAGAGGTCAAGAGAAGGGACTGAAAGTGTCCATGTGACAGAGCAATTAAGAGTTAGCAGTGGCCTTTAATAAGAGTCATTTTAATGGCACAGCAGGGATGAAAACTTGATTATAGTGAATGAGGAGTGAAGATGAGTAAAGGGAAGGAGAGGGAGCAATGGTTAGTGAAGGAAGTAGAATCTGGAAGATTTAGTGGAGTCCAGGAAGGAAAAGGTTATCTGTAACAAAAGGGTAATTACTTGATAGATAAACCATAGACTTCAGGCTTCCATCAAGGACCATATACAAAGAAAAATTATGGGTAGGGCGTGTTGGCTCACACCTGTAATCCTAGCACTCTCGGAGGCTGAAGTGGGTGGGTCACTGGAGCTCAGGAGTTTTGAGACCAGCCTGAGCAAGAGTGAGACCCTGTCTCTACCAAAAAAAGGAAGAAATTAGCTGGGCATGGTGGAGAAGGCCTGTGGTCCTAGCTACTCAGGAGGCTGAGGTGGGAGGATCACTTGAGCCCAGGAGTTTGAGGTTGCTGTGAGATAGGCTGACACCACCGAACTCTAGCCCAGGTGACAGGACAAGACTGTCAAAAAAAAAAAACAGTGGAGCTTCAGCTGGCTTATATATCATTTGGTCTGGTGTGGTAAATATCTGTAAATGCAGAAAAAGGAGAGTATGAAGGAAGAGCACAGAATTTTGAGGAAGGTTCCACATAATATTAAAATATAGGCCGGGTGCGGTGGCTCACGCCTGTAATCCTAGCACTCTGGGAGGCCGAGGTGGGCGGATTGCTCGAGGTCAGGAGTTCGAAACCAGCCTGAGCAAGAGCGAGACCCCATCTCTACTATAAATAGAAAGAAATTAATTGGCCAACTAATATATGTACAAAAAATTAGCCGGGCATGGTGGCGCATGCCTGTAGTCCCAGCTACTTGGGAGGCTGAGGCAGCAGGATTGCTTGAGCCCAGGAGTTTGAGGTTGCTGTGAGCTAGGCTGATGCCACGGCACTCACTCTAGCCAGGGCAACAAAGCGAGACTCTGTCTCAAAAAAAAAAAAAAATATATATATATACATGCACACTGCATATCTCTGTTCCATATCTCCAGGGGAAGTCAGCTAATAGCTGATCTTTTTAACTCTACAGCAAGATTGACAAACTGTAGACCACAAGCCAAACCTAGCTTGCCACCTGTTTTTGTTCATACTGTGTTATTGAAACCCAGCTATGCTTGTTCCTGTACGTACTGTCTATGGCTGCTTTCCTGCCGCAAGGGCAGGGTAGGTAGTTGCCAACATCACCAGCCCAACAAAGTCTAAAATACTCACTATTTGGTCCTTTACAAAAAGGTTTGCTGCTCCTGCTCCAGGGCCTCTAACCTCAGTTAACTTTACTCTCTCTAACCTTGGTTCATGGAAGAGTACAAAACTAGAAGCTGTGTGTTTATATTTAACTCCCATATGAGAAGTTCTTGTAAGAGTAGAGTTCTGTTTTTCTGAGTATGATTTGAATATTTCAGAATTCTTTGATAACTTCCCTATTTCTCATCCAGATCCTATCCCTGGAGGCTGTAATTTGGAGTTTGATTTAGATATTGATCCCAACATTTACTTGGAGTATAATTTCTTTGAAACGACTATCAAATTTGCCCCAGCAAACCTAGGCTATGCGAGGTATGTCTGTCTCCCATCTCTTAAAACTGCTCTTAGAACACACATGACTAACTATTGTGTAGATTCAGCCAACTCATTCAAATTCATACTTCTCTGTGGTAAAATGGAGTTGTTTATTTTTTTTGGAACTGGTGTAATTTAAACTTTGTTACTGATATTTGAGCTGTCATTTATGGTTAACGTCTTCCCCCTCCATTCTTGTGAATTCTTTTTATTTGAAGAGCCAGATGTGAGTCTATTATGAGCTTGGAAGTATATTCTGATTTTTATAAAGGATGTTAAATATAGAAAGCAATCTGTAGCCCTGAACCATCCTTGTATTTTTATAAGGGCTTCATTATTTTAATGAAACTCTGCCTCAGTTTCTGCTTTAATAGTAACAGTAGCTAACATTTGAGAAACATTTGAATGCTCCCTGGACATCATCCATAGTGTTGAGTGCTGAATGTTCTTTGTCATTAATCCTAACAGTTTTATGAAGAAGAGACAATTGCTCTTATATTGCAGAGAGATTCCCTAGGAGTTATTGAGGTTAAGTGACTTGCCTACATGCACACAGCCCAGCTGCCATGTTACTCTAGGCATCAGAGTCTGGTTATTTAACCACACTTGCCTCTATTGTAGATCTAAGTTCGTGCTGCTATAACAAAGTACCATAGACTGGGTGGTTTATAAACAATAGACATTTATTTCACATAGTCCTAGAGGCTGGAAGTCCAAGATCAGGGAGCTAACACAGTTGGGTTCTGGTGAGAGCTCTTCTAGATTGCAGACTGCTGCTTCTCATTGTATCCTCATGTGGCAGAAAGAGGGCTAGAGAGCTCTCCAGAATCCCTTTTATAAGGTTACTAATCCCATTCCTGAGGGCTCCATCCTCACGACCTAGTCACTTCCCAAAGGCTACCTCCTAAGACCATCACACTGGGGATTAGAATTTCAACATACAAAATTTGAGAGGGACACAAACATTCAGTCCTTAACTGTGTTCCTTTTCTTCAGAATACTAATTATTGTCTCTGCAAAAGGTAAACTGTTGTTGCAGAAGTTTGAAATTTGATTCCTTTTTATAGATGGGACTTGCACCACAAGAGATTGATGTTCGATTTTGTTGGTTGACTTTAGAGGCACAGATCCTCCGCTATGTGATGTTGGGACGGGACGGGACTCTAGGTGGAGGTTGCAGTATGATGTCTATCAGTATTTTCTGCCCGAGAATGACCTCACTGAAAAGATGTTGCTAAAGCATCTGCAGAGGATGGTCCAGGTGTCCCAGGTGAAGGCCAATGCTGTCAAGGTAAATCTGATTCTCATGGTTTGTGCATCTAGACCAGGCATCCTCAAACTACGGCCCAAGGGCCACATTTGGGCCCCCTAGCACATTTATCCGGCCCTCCAGGTGTTTTTGCCGTGGCTGCCTGTCCTGTTTAGCAGCCAACTCGTCCCGGTCCCACAGTGCGAACTCTCCGTCGGTCTGAGGGATAGTGAACTGGCCCCCTGTTTAAAAAGTTTGAGGGCCCCTGATCTAGACTGTGATGCCTTTGTAAAAGTTGACAAGAGGAGAAGCTACCATGAGCTTACTTCTTTCCTGTTTTCTTGATCTTTTTGCATAATCACTTTGCTTTTTGTTTTGTTACCATCTTGGGAGTCTTTGCTAGTGACATCCCAAAATGATGTTGGCCTCTTAGGAGATGCATGTAAATTATGTTAAGTTTTAATTGCAGCCACATCTGTGACCTGGTAATCTTGAGCTATGGATGAAAGTAGGTAGTAATTTTCTGTGTACTCCCATACTCTGTATGTACTGTCTATGGGAGTACATGGAAAATTAATAGATTAAAGCTTTTAATAGGTTCAAATAGATTAATAGATTAAATAGATTATCTAGATTAATAAAACTTTTGGCAAATACGAAGTTTATAGTGTTTTGAGAAAAAATAATGGGAAGCTGCTTAAGGATATTAATATAGGTATTAATATTTGAATCCAAACTCAAAGTCTCTAACTTGGAGCAAAAATTTTCTTTGAGCTTTCGAATCCCTGGAAACCCTTGCTACTCCAAGTGTGGACCATCAACCAGCAGCATTGGCATCACCTGGGAGTTTGTTAGAATTACAGCTTCTGAGGCTCCCCCCCAAAACTACTGAATTAGAATTTGCATTTTATAAGACCCTTTCAGCTGATTGTTATGCATATTAAAATTCAAGACTCACTGCTAGAGAGCATTTTTGTGGAGGGCAGGATTTTATCTTTATGTCTTGAAAAGTGCCTAATAGTAGCATAATATACCAGATCATCCTTCCATCTGATGGTTGATGGGTGGAGTTTTTCTGGACCACTCTGATTCTTCCCAGGAGATTGGTAGATTACCAGATTACCTAGAAAGAAGTGATTGAAGTGGGGCATATATGATTGGCCTAGGGGCATAGTCTGCTGCAGAGCAAGATCTCATTTTGTTACTGTGGCTCCTAATGTCATTGCCCCATTCTGAGCAGCCTGAATACAAGAAAACTCATTGTGCTTATTCACAAATTAAGAAGCCCTATTGGTAAAGTCTATCAGTTGCTTTATTAGATATGAAATTTTTAAGATCATTTTTATTCTCATAAAGACTATAACAACTTGTATAATATAGGCCCTTTTTAGGTTGGTTTTAAACTTTTTGTTAAAAGAATATTTTGTGTCAGAGTGCAAGGAAATCCTCAAAGACCAACGAGGGCATGTTAGAGAGATCCTGGAGCCTGTTCGAAGGTGCTCACACTGGCCAAATTTGGGACAATTCAAGCATCCAGAAAAAAGATGTATTGATTGTAAGCTTTGAATAAATAAAAGTGAAAACTTCCCAATTGCCACCCTTGGAAGAGATTCTTACAGCATATTATTCTGAAAATTGATGAAGGAATTTACCCTGCCCTTTTATTTTTAATTTAAATTTATTTATTTTTAATGGCCAGTTACTGAAGCCCTGTGTTTTTGTTTTTTTGTTTTTTTTTGAGATGGTCTCACTCTGTTGCCCAGGTTGGAGTGCAGTGGCCTCATCATAGCTCACTACAATCCCAAACTCCTGGGCTGAAGCAATCCTCCTGCCTCAGCCTCCAGAGCAGCTGGGACTACAGGTGCATGCCACCATGCCTGGCTAGTTTTTAAGATTTTTTGTAGAGACCAGGTCTCGCTATATTGCTCAGGCTGATCTCAAACTCCTGGCCTCAAGAGATTCTCCTACCCTAACCTTCCAAAGTCCTAGCATTATAGGCATGAGCCACCACAGCTGGCCTCAGCTCTGACTGTTTTTACAGGTGGGACTAATTTGTCCTCAGTTGGTGAGAGAAAGCTGTTTACAGAAGAATGCCAGTTAATATATGTAGGAGGAATAATAGAATTAGAAAATTACCATTTGTGACCCTCAATGAAATAATTTAAGCAAAGATCATCAGGTGAAAGGTTTGGGGGGACAGGATATTTCCAGGGTGCCTAAGTAGCACCCCTAAAATAAATTTTCATTGGAAAATGAAAACTTTTTAGGGTAGAGTGACCTTACAGTCTCCACCTTACCCTAGTGATCAAAGCTAGTTTCACTGGATAGTGGGTCAGCCTGCATTATTTGCTCGTGTGCAGTCTGACATCACCATCACCTGTGGAATATTCTGGCAAAAAATGTCTAACTTGAATTCAGTCCATTGGATTCCCTGTTTACAGGAAATATGGGAGATATTTAGTTAGACACCTTGAGTATAATTCAACAAATCTAGATTGTAGAATATTTGGTGGAATACATGGTACTCTGCAGTGTACTATGTTTAATATATTATGTGAGATAATCAACACATTATTATAAGATAGGCTTTGTATTAGATGATTTTACCCAACTGTAGGCCAACATAAGAGTTCTGAGTACATTTAAAGTAGGCTAGGCCAAGCTATGATGTCCGGTAGGTTAGGTGTATTCAATGCATTTTTTGACTTATGATGGGTTTATCCCTATGTATCCTATCGTTAAGGAGCATCTGTCTGTACTTGGTGCCTTGCTACTCAGAGTGTGATAGATGGACACATAGCATTGGCATCACCTGAGAGCTTGTTAGAAAAGCAGAATCGCAGGTACCACTGCTGACCTATGGGATCAGAATCTGCATTTTAACAAGATTCTCTCAGCAAATCACGGGCACGTAAAGTTTGAGAACATTGTGTTAGGACATGCACTATGAAGTATTGAGAAGTGAAATGTCATGATACCTAACTTACTTTAAAATGATTCAGCAGAAAAAAAAATAGAAAGGGAGAAGGAAGGAAGGATGAAAAAGCAAATATGGTATTAACAATTGTTGAGTTTAAGTGGCGGTATATAGTCTATTGTCTTATTCTTTCAACTTTTCTGTATGGTTTGAACTTTTCATGATAAAAGCTTGGGAGAGTAGGTAGTAATATTAACATTCTGTTGAACTCGACCAGTCCTTTGCCCAGAAAAGGACTTTTGATTTTTGTTGAGCAATATTTTTAAACAGTGGTAGTCTTCTAGGAGGCTCATAATTATTTACTCTTGAAACTCAAATGTTTAGTTTTCTTATTTATATAAATACGAACATATCTGTTTATTATGGTTATATAGGGCATTTGTTTCCTCTATTATGTAGTTTAAAAGGGAATTTTTGAAGTTAAGGGCTACTATGTAATACAACTTTATATAATGTTTTCTTATTTCAGAGCCTGTTAGACAAAAATGAGTGGGTTCTCTACATGAGATGTTAACAGACTTTGTCTACATCAGCTCTGTAGCTAGTAGTAAAAGCTAACATTTGTTGAACACTCACCCTGTGCCAGACATTGCACTTAGTACCAAGAAGAGAGTAGTGACAAGATAAACATGGTTCCTGCCCTTAGTTGTTTATAGTCTAGCAGATGAGAAAAAATTATTTTGCTTTGTCCTAACTAGCATTTACACATTATTTATATCATATTTTACTTAAACTATTAACATATAACACTACACAAAAACTTTGGAAGCATTTTGTGTAAGAGCTTGTTAATTATTAAAGCACATGCAAACCATGTAGGATGGTTTTTTTTTTTTATAATTAATTTAAATTTAATTTACCATTTCAATCTTTTTTTTTTTTGAGACAGAGTCTCGCTCTGTTGCCCGGGCTAGAGTGCGGTGGCGTCGGCCTAGCTCACAGCAACCTCAAACTCCTGGGCTAAAGCGATCCTTCTGCCTCAGCCTCCTGGGTAGCTGGGACTACAGGCATGCGCCACCATGCACGCCTAACTTTTTCTACATATTTTTAGTTGGCCTAGGATGGTCTTTTGATGGAGCTAAGTGGGTATATATTTTAAATAAGAAGTATAATTTAATATTACTCTTTAATAGTACATATAAGTGGGATATAGAATAGCTTTTTTAAAAAACAATTCTAAACACTAATTGCACATTATTTTTGGCTTCAGGTGGTAACCCTAACAGGTGATGATAAGACAAGTGTTTCCTTCTCCTCCCTCCCTGGACAAGGTGTCATTTATAATGTCATTGTTTCCGACCCATTTCTAAATACGTCCGCTGCTTATGTTCCTGCTCACACGTATGCTTGCAGCTTCGAGGCAGTGGAGGGGAACTGTGCTTCCCTTGGTGAGTATATGGATTTAAACTATTCTAACTCTTTCTTTGGCTTTGCAGGTCTATATCAACTAAAAGAGAACTTAAGGATATTAAAAATGCCTTTGTCTAGTTTTTATTTATTCATTTAACAAATGCCCTTTGAGCCCCTATGTTGTTGTTTCCATTCTCTGTTTTAGGCACTAGGATACAGCAGTGAACAAAACAGCCACAATACTTGCCCTCCTGGGGCTTATATTTTAGCAGAGGAGATGAGATAGACAAGATAAATATATAAAATATGTAGTACATGAGAAAGTGATGAGAACCAAGAAGAACAATAAAGCAGGAAAGAGAGATAACAAGTGGCAGTGAGAGGAAACTTTGAGATAGCAGGGCCAGGGAGGTCCGTCCGTGCTGTAAGGTGACATTTGAGTGAAGAGCCAACGCAAGGCAGGGAGCCACACATGAGCTGGGGGGAGGTGCCTGTCAGGCACGGGGAGCAGCCAGTGTGTCTTAATGTTTTAAAGGGAACATTTGCTGCTTTTTGAGAAAAGATGTGGGAAAGAGCAGAAACAGGGAGATTGGGTAGGATGCCACTGAAGTAATTCAGGTGATAGATGATGGTGCGCTTGGTAGAACCAGGCCAGTGAAGGTGTTGCAAGATCAGTGTGTGTGTGTGTGTATTTAACATTTTATTTTTAAATAGCTTCACAGAAAGTATGCAAAAATAATATAAAGAATTTCTGCATAATATTTATTTAGATATCCTGGAATGTTAGTTAACATATTATGCTGTTTGCTTTTCATTCTCTCTCTTTCTTTGTCTCTCCCCCTTGCTCTCCTCTCACTCTTCTTGTTTACAGGTGACCTTTGAACACCATGGGGATTATGGGGTGCCAACCCCCCCACAGATGAAAATCTGTGTATAGTTTTTGACTCCCTCCAAAACTTAACTACTAATAGCCTACAGTTGACCACTTAACCAATAGTATAAACAGTCTATTAACTCATATTTTGTATGTTATATGTATTATATACTGTATTCTTATAATAAAGTAAGCTAGAGAAAAGAAAATGTTATTAAGGAAATCATAAGGAAGAGAAAATATATTTTCTATTCATTAAGTGGAAGTGCATGATTATAAAGGTCTTTAGCTTTGCTGCATGATTATAAAGGTCTTCAGTTGAGTAGGAGGAGGAAGAGGAAGGTTGGTCTTGCTGTCTCCAGAGTGGCAGAGGCAGAGGCATGAGAGGCAGGCACACTCAGTGTGACTTATGTTGGAAAAAATCTGGGAATAAGTGGACCTGCAGAGTTCAAACCCATGTTGCTCAAGGGTCAATTGTATCTGTATACATATGTGTATATACACACATAATACTCTTTTTTTCTCTGAACCAATTGCGAGTAAGTTGCAGACATAAAAACCTTCTGTGTTTATTTCCTTACATAACCGTAATAAAATTATCAATATCACAAAGTTAACATTGATAGACTACGATTTTTAATCTATAGATGCTATCAAATTTCACTATTGTTCCACTAATGTCCTTTATAAGCAAAAAAAAAAAAAAGTTTTTTCCTGTTCAAGGTCCAATTCAGGATACTATGTTGCATTTAACTTTAATAATAAATCTCTCAGTCTCCTGTAATCTGGAACAATTTCTCGGTCTTTTTTCTTTTGTCTTTCAAGACCTTCACATTTTTGAGGAGTATGGGCTATGTATTTTTTTTTTTAAATGCCTCTCCAATTTGGGTTAGTTTGATATTTCCTCATAATTAAATTTAGATTATGCACTTTTGGCAAGGATACAAAAGAAGTGATGTGCCCTTCTCAGGAGACACTTGTTTGTTTGTCCTACTATTGGTGGTGATGCCCTTGCATACTTGGTTGGTGGTGTCTGCCAGAGTTCTCCACTGTAAAGTGACTGTTTTCCCCTTTAAGTTAAATATCTTTGGGGGAGATGCTTTGAGTATCAGTAAATATCCCATTCTCAAACTCTCACTTGCTATTTTTAGCATCCAGTGTTCATTGCCTAAAACATTTATTACTAGGTGGTTGCCAAATGGCATTTTTCTAATTTCATCATTCCTTCTATGTGTATCAGTTAGCTTTTGCTATTAATACAAGGAAGAGTCCACCCCATTTATTTATTTATTTATATAGGCCTGGACCAGAGATTCCTTTTTTTTTCTCTGGATTGTAATCCATTACTGTCATTTATTTCATATTCAAATCATCCTAAATTGGCCAGTGAGTGGCCAGATATATTTGAAATAGGATGCACCATTGGATTGGATGAGGGGTTTGAGAGAAAGAGGTATAAAGGACAACTTTGTAGTTCTGGCCTGACCACCTGGAGAGAGAGAGCATCCGTGCACTGAGGTGGGAAAGCCTGTTGGAGGAGAAGGTTGGGAAGAGTTCAGTTTTGGACATGTTCAATTTTAGAGCTTTATTAAGCCTTCACAGGAGATGTTTAATTGACAGTTGGTTATATGTATAAGCCTGGATGGAATTCAAGGGAAAGGTCTGGGCTGGAGATGATCTTGGAAGTCATCAGATTAATAAATGAGACTTAAGCCACAGACAGATGGTATCATTTATGAGTATGTAGAAAGGGAGGAGGTCAAGGACTGAGTCCCAGGTGCTCTAATGTCTAGCACTTAGGAGTTAGAGAGTTAGGAGTTAGAAGGAGTTAGGAGTTAGGAGTTAGAGGAGTTAGCCCCCCCTCCCACTAAGGGGGCTGAGAAGGAGCAGCTAGAGTGGTAAAAGCAAAGTGGTGTTTGTTTTTTCTTAAGCCAAGGGGAGAAAGTGTTTTGAGAGAGAGTGATCAGCAGTGTCACCTGTTGCTGATAGGTCAGCTAAGAAAGAGACTGAAAAGGACCCTTGGATTAGCAGCATGGAGGCCACTGGTACCAGTGACAGCTGCTCCTGTGGAGTGGTAGGCAAGAGCCTGACTGGAGTATGTTCAAGAACAAATAGGAGGACAGAAATTGGAGAAAGTGTTCAGATAGCTGTTTAAAGGAGTTTTGCTCTAAAGAATAAAGTCTGTTGTGTTTAAGCCAGGGATTAGGGTTCTTTCCTTCTGCTAGAGCTATAGCCCACTGTTGAAGAAAAAGAAAAAAATCAGTGGCACTTGTTAAATAAAGCAAAGTGAGGAAGAACTTTATTCAGGTGTAGGGAGAGTATTGCAATGGTACAGGGACCGCTGCAATGGAGTTTGGCAGTGGTGGAGAGTGATTGGGCTCAACTCCTAACACAGCATTGGGCAAGTGGAATTTATAGCCAAGGAGCAGGGTAGGGTCATGGGTGGAAAATACTAAGAGGAAACGTCGGGGGTTATGGGGATTCCATCTAAGCCGATATAAACAGGTCCTACAGAAGACAGGCCAGGGTGATCAGACATCACCTGGGGATGATGGCGGATGAGGAACTGATCAGATATCAAGTGTGATCAGATATTGAGGGTGGGGTTTCCGGCTAAACTTGCATATCAGAGTTCTTGCTGAAAGTGGATTTTACAGGCATGTGGTACAGATGGCCTAGGAGAAGGTTCAGAGCCTGGCTAAAGTTTGGCTAAGGATACTCTTTGCAACTTCCAGTTTTTCCGTGCTATCCACACTCAAGATCCTTGAGAGATACAGTGCAAGTGACCTAGGCGGATTAAGTTCTGTGTTTATTACTGAGGACTGACTCATGTCCGCTTCCTCCGTTCTTCCATTGAACCCTTCACCTAAGAGCCCTTCTAATCAGAAAGGTCCTGCCCTGGCTGAGAGAGGAGACTCTGATCCAGTTGTCTTCTGCCAAAGCGAACCTCCTAGTGCTATCATGACCTATTGTTACTTTCATGTCAAGTTCAAGGAGTACCAGAGTGATTTCCTGAGCTTGGAGGAGGGAGGATATATCCACCTTGCCTTTGAACTAAAACCTTGGCCTGTGTATCATAACCGCTAGTGTTACTGTGATGGTTAAAAGCACTCTAAACTTTGGCTTTCTCTTGTCTTATTCCATTCGCTCTTCATTGCCCCAAAAGTGACTGCCTATTCTGTCTCTTGTGTTATAGTATTTCTAGATTCTACTTTTATGGAACCTTCCCTATTCTCTGATTTTACTTATTGTTGTTTTTAGAGACAGTGTCATGCTCTGGACCCAGGCTGGAATGCAGTGGTGTAATCACAGCTCATAATACCTTGAACTCCTGGGCTTAAGCAGTCCCTCCTCCTCAGCTTCCCAAGTAGCTGGCCTACATGTGTGCCACACACGCTCTGCCTAATCTTTTTAAAAAAATTTTGTAGAACGGGGTCCTGCTGTGTTGCCCAGGCTGGCCTCGAATTTCTAGGCTCAACAGGTCTTCCCTTCCTTGGGCCACCAAGTGCTGGATTACAGGCGGGCTACTCACCCGGCTCATGATTTTACTTGTATAATTTTTCTCCACTCCTTCTGTTCTTCTCGGTACTCCTCTGCTGCTTCGTGGTTGTGCTGTGATAGATATTCTTTTAGTTTCTCTGTTGTATGGAAGAATATCTAACTGTGTGTGTCAATTCTTTATTGGGGGTCGGTTGGAGACCTTGCTACCTTGGTGCTGTGTACTTGTTGGGAACTTCTACAAATTTTTTTTTTTTTTTTTTTTTTGAGACAGAGTCTCGCTTGTTGCCCAGGCTAGTGAGTGCCGTGGCGTCAGCCTAGCTCACAAGCCAACCTCAAACTCCTGGGCTCGAGTGATCCTTCTGCCTCCAAGCCTCCCGGTACTGGGACTACAGGCATGCGCCACCATGCCGGCAATTTTAATATATATCAGTGGCCAATTAAATTTCTTTCTATTTATAGTAGAGGACGGGTCCTCGCTTTGCTTCAGGCTGGTTTCGAATCCTGACCTCGAGCAATCCGCCGCCTCGGCCTCCCAGAGCTAGGATTCAGGCGTGAGCCACAGCGCCGGCCCAGATTTTTTCAATTGAAGAAATAATCCCTTGAAACTTAATGTTTGTGTAAAAATTAAATCCTAGAACAGCAGTCAACCACAGGTCTGAAATGAAACAGAAAGGTGGTGTTTTTATTTTTTGTTTAATCTTTTGGTTCCTCATTCTCAGAAAAGGCTGATTGTAGGATATATTATACCTGCAAATTCTGGTCTTCCATCTCTTTGTTTTATTTAGGTGTATGTGTTCATAGTGTCTCCATCTGAGCTTCTTAAATATTTCAATGTGTTGATTTGTGGCAGGTTTTGCAACTTTTCACATGAGATTGTATAGATGTTTATTTTAATCAGGGGATTATTTTTTTTGTTATCTTGAAGGAGATCAAGAGGTGGTAAAATTTAGTAAACGCTGTTTTCTCTTTAATAACGCTGTACATTTGTAAATTAAATTTAATGTGATGGTACTTGTTTTTTGTTGTTTGTTTTTGTTGAGACAGAGTCTCGCTTTGTGCCCAGGCTAGAGTGAGTGCTATGCGTCAGCCTAGCTCAAC